CCCCTATATCCTTTTAAGAGGCCATCTCCTCAGCTTAGGGATAAAAACAGGTATTCCTTTAAATAACCATTTGAAGAAGGAGCCCCTGTGGTTTATGGGTGACCAGTAAATTGTGGGGAAGAGTGTTCGGTTTGTTGTGATGTGGTGATACTTCTTTACCACCTGTTGACCATTTGGGGCCAGGAGAGGTCTGAGATGAGTCTGAGTTTGGTGGTGGTGGGTTCCTGGCTGAGGGCTCCTTCTCCAGGTCTTGCTTTCTACGCAGGAATGTGGGCGCCCATCTGGCTGCAGCTGTGAGGAGTTGAGGTGCAGCCCCGGCAGGAGACCCTGGAGGGTACCAGGGACTCTAGATCTGTTCCTGATTCCTTCCTCCATCCAGGACAGTCCGAGCCTGCCCAAAACACTTGCATCCCTAACCACTTTTAGTGAGAGAAAAGTGGTTTATAAAATGGAATGGAAGCTTGCATTTCAGCATGGGTGGGACAAGTTAAGATTTAGTTGCCCAAGACTTACTTAGTCAGCCATTCCTGCCTCCTTCTGAGTCTCTGTTGCTGAGCATGGGGGTAGTTAATACCGTATCTAAGTTACCGCCTTAGAGTCCACCAGGTGATGGGTGACTAATTGTGGCTCACTTTCTAAACTTCACCTAACCGTGCCTCCTATTCAGATTCAAAGTGCCAAACCAGCCTCTGTATGACGCAGATCATGTGACTGTGACACCTCTCACAGACACTGTCCTTCTAAAACGTGGCTGTTCCTTCCTCGCTGGCTGGTCTCACAGCTGCAGGGTTGTTTCCTCCCTGGTTGGTAGCAAAGAGGAGGGTCAGGCCCTGTGTTAGGGGGGCCCAGCATCAGGTACCTTCACAGGTGGGCAGATGACAGCCTCTAGAGAGGCCTGTGGGGGAGGGGAAGGATGCATGAGGAATGGACCACACCTTTTCTTTCCTTAAACAACATTCCCTACCTTATCTTTGCAGCTCGGGGTGAGCCAGTTTCTTGGTTTGAGAAGGCTACCTGCTGGTCAGGGTCAAATGCAGGGCTGTGTTAATAGTCCAAGTGTCCAGAGAGAATGAAAACCGCTTTCGGCCAATACAGCAACCGTCACTGGACCGAGCGTGTTAAGAGCGCCGCGTCCTCCTCTGCCTGCTCCTCTCCTTCCTGGGCTGGTGGGGCGCCCCCCTTCAAGTCTCTCAGCTCCTCTGCTGTCCAGCCTGGGTGGCTGCCGCAGCTCCCCTCTCATGGGTGAAGAACCTGGTTTCACCTCCATTCCCCACCACCTGCTTAGAGGCTGCCCTGCCTTTCACGTGCCCCTTTGGAGTTTGCCCTGGATCCTGCTCTCTTTCCCAGCCCTCGGGTTACCGCCTCTTCCAGATGTGCCCCCTCAGCCTCTTCACCTTACTCCTCTGCGGGGGGCCTCCTCGCACGCAGCTTCTGGTGCTTTGTGCACTTAAGCCCCACATCCCAGATGAACCTAGGCTCCCAAGGGAGGTGCTGTGTCTCTGTGGGGATGAACAGATACACTGAGTGCAGCCGGATCACACGTTTGCCTCTGGGACCCACAGTTCCTTGAAAGCAGGGACTGATTGTCCCGGGGTGCGTTACTGATGGGGAGCCCTAACCTTGTGAGGGAAGGAAATGGCTGTAGCTGCCAGCATGGGAATGGTCGGTGAATGGAATCGTGGCTTCCCTATTGCAGAGTGTCCGTGTTCACTGATGGGCCTGGAGGCCTAGCTCCTACGGCATGTTTGGCCTTTCAGCGGTCCCCCTTGTACCCCACACCACTGACCCCTCATAGCCGCTCTGCATCAGAGGCTGGCAGAGCCCGTTCTCCCTGCCTCCTGCCGTCATCTCAGACCCAGAGCTGAGTTCGTCAGCCACCCAAAGCAGGTTCTGGCTCCCGAGCGCTCGCAATCTTACTGGCCCAGGTCCTGGGCCATAAAGATGATACACCTTTGACTCATATTTCCCTTCTCACCAGCTCCTACGGATCCACCCAACTTGCTATCTGCCAGGTACAAACTCATCCTCGGGCAGAGGGCCCATGGGTCATCTGTCATGGCCCTTCTGTTGCAGGGGGCCTAGCTGGGCCCTCTGGGCTCAGCACCTTCTGACTGCTCTCTTACCTTTCACCCAGGTACTAAGGCCCCCAATGGAGCCAGTTTGCTGAAATATGAGGTCTTTTTAAAAATCTCTATCAAGTTTACATCTGAGGCCACTTGAGTTGCCAAGCACGGGCGTCCAGATCCCTGAAGCCGTGGGTGTAATTCCCAAGCTCCTCTCATTAATTGCCCTTATCACGCTGAAGTGAATTCCATGGAGGGTTTTGACTCATGGTGAGCAGCCGGATGTTCCTGTATAATTTCGTCAACCATTCTGACATTTGCCAACTACATCCTGTCTTTACATGTTTTCCTGCCTTTCATGCACTGCCCCCTCTGCCTGGAATCGCCCTTGTCTACTGAGAAAGTTCCTACCCATCCTTTAAGGCCCAGGGAAACTACGTACCCGCCTCTATCCGCATACCTCACGCTGTGTCATAATTATTTGTTCATACTTCTGTCGTCTCCACTAGACTGCATGGTCCATGGGAGCAGGGATTAGGCCTGATTTATCAATATTCCCTCCAGTGTCCAGCACAACAGGGTTCAGGCCGTGTTGGCCACATGGATCCGTCTTTTATTCACAAGTATTTACTCACAAACTCCCTTGTGCCGGTCACTCTGCTACGCACCGGGCACGTTGGGGTGAGCAAGGCCAGTTAGCAAGGAAATGTAGATGGACGAGATTCTTCGGAACCGCTGTGCTGTCAAGGGGCTGCTTTAGATGCAGGCGTGCAAGGAAGGCGTCTCTGAGAAGAGACTTCAGAGCTGAGGCCCGAAGGCTGAGGACTGATGAGCCGTCCAGAGAGCTGGGGACGTGAGCTCAGGACAGAGGGACGGCAGGTGCACACTTGCAGAGGAGGAAAGGGGGCTTGGAGTCCTGGGGGAGCGGACAGGGACGGAGGCTGCCGAAGCATGGGGATCGAGGGGGAGGGCCGTGTGGGGCTGGCCTGGCCGGATCCTGCCGAGCTGCTTCCGTTAGGTCACAGTATGGACTTTGGATTTTTTTTTGCTGGGAGCGGTTGGGAAGTCCTCAGAGGGTGGGACATGTTTCAGACTTTTAATACCCCATATGGCCAAGCAGATGTGCCTGTGCTGAATGCTGCCCCACTTCTGCTACCTCCCCTTGTCCTGCTGCCTCTTCTCCACCCACATCCCCTCCCCGGCTTGCTCCTGTTCAGACCCTGAGATCTGTGCCCACACTTGCTCTGTAGCGATCTGGGCTGCTCCTTTTTGCAGCCCTGCCTGGTTCCTGCCACAGCTCTGAGGTGCCAGTGAGGTTCCACCCCCCCGCGAAGCTCCTTTTCTCACTCCCCTGAGCTGATAGCCTGACGGTTCTTGCACTGCTGAGGCTCAGCGCCCATTTCTGACCATTTCTGGGCCTTTGCACCTGTGAGTCACGCCCTCCCCTTCCACACGCATAGCTTATCTTTGCGTGCTTATCTCCTCCAAAGGACCAGCCTCTTGGGCTTCTTTGGGTTCTCCCTCCCTGAACCTACCCCACTTTAGTTTAGAGTCCCTCATCCGGTGAGCTATCCTGGCACAAATACATCCTGAGATTATCTTCTCACTTTAAAAAGCAAAAAAAAAAAAAGGCTGAAGTTTATTGAGCCCTTACTACATGCAAGACAAGCATTTTCAATGAAATATTAATTACTCATTTAACCATGACATCAACCCTGTGAGTTAGGTGCTGTTATCATCCCTATTTTACAGATGAGGATACTGAGGTTTGGAGATCACACAGTAGATGGCAGAGCTGGCTTTGAACCCAGGGTATTTAACTGTTCCTACCTGGTGCTGTCCAGTGTGGTTCTTTGTGGTCCTGACATTCTTATCCACAGCATCTCCAAAGCCACTTTCCAGTGGTTGCTCACTTTCCTCTCTTCACTCCAAAGGTCTAACTTCATGGGTAAGATGAGCAGCAGAACCCCTTGTTCCCTGACCTGTGCCACCCTTGGGTCCAGGAGCTCTGCCTCTTTCCTCCGTCGCACTTAGGCCTATTGGGCACACCTGCCTCCAGTTCACAGACGTGAGCTAAGCCTCTTCTTAGGATTACAAATGCTGTCGTGTCAGTCTCTCCCTGCCACCCAGGAAGGGGGCGGGAAGCAAGAAAAATGAGAAGAGGCTGTAAGAAGACAGTTGAGCTGAAAGGCCTTTCTAAGAGGCAGAGCTGCCCGGAGATGGGGCCAACTGCCGCCTCTGCCATTAGAAGGGAGACTCAGCGTTAGGGGAGTGGCTACACTGTACTTTCGGAGAAATTCTCCAGCCCTGGGAAGATGGGATTATGTACCTTGAATGGTGCTGGGTGGAGTAGAACTAAAATGGTAAGAGACAGTGCTCCTGGGTCCAGGGACAGTACTCTCCCCACAACAGCGCACCTGCAGCCTTCCCAGATGGGGCCCGTTGGCCCACGTGAGAAGTGGAAGCGGCAGTTGAGGCCTCTCAGCCTGGGTCACACCTGCCCAAGGAGAGCATTGCAGGTGTGAGACAAATGCAGATAGAAGACCGCCCATGCCTGCTGCGACCCACGGCTGCAGGGCACAGCCCGGCTTTCTTTTCCCCAACCTTAGGGGAGCCTTGAGCCGCCCCCAGGGGCGGCTGGAGCTTCTGGAGCCGTGACTGTAACGATGGCAGGAGTGACAATCGCTGTCTCGCTGCTGCAGGTCGCTCCGGAGAGCCCTAGTGGCTTTTCATGACACAAGCACATGCTGAAGATTCATGGATTAGGAACACTTGTGCCTGGAGGGCGAAGCCATGGCGATGGCAGAAACCACACGTGGGCTACCAAGATTCCTATGAGAGTGCGGTTGTGATGGTGGAATTGAGAGGGCTTGGCGGTCTTGGGTACGTAATGTGGAAGCCTGTAATTTTTCCTGTGTTCTGTATTTGAATTTTCAGTGAGAAGGAGGAGACTAAGCAGGCAAAAGGACTCATGGCTTCTGATGCGAGTCACGTGCTGGAAGCTGCCCTGGAGCAGATGGACGGGATCATTGCAGGTATGGTCAGAGGTCCTGGCAACCCACAGCTCATCCTCCGCACTGAGAAACGTTTCCTCTCATTGGACTTTTCCTTTGGGTGCAGAGACAAGGCCCCTGTTGGATTTCTTTTATTTTACTGTGTTTGCCACCTCTTTTTTAACAGTGCAAACTTGGACTCTTTGATATCTGGTGTGAGTCTAGGGCTCTGTTGAGAGTACAGAGGCACCATCTTTTAGCATCTGTATAACTGTATCGCAGTTTGGATCCTGGCTGCAACAGGTGCAGTGAGATTGATTTTATTGTCAAGTTTTCAGAGCACATCATGGCTTATTACAGTCGAGCTGAAACTTGCAATCTCGCAGACTTTGCCCCGAACGCTGGTGTCAGCTCCCTTTCCCGGCTGGTCTCCAGTTTGTTTGAGAGTCAGGAAGCAGTTTTGTATTGATTCACCTAATCACCTGAAGAAGGTTCTATATGTTTTTTATCCATCGTAACTGTTTGGCTTCATGTTTGCCTTAGCCAGTTAGGATTATTCTCTAGACGAGATCCAGCAAAACTGGTTAATTGGAAAGGACTGCCAGTGGGCTGTTTGGGCTGATTAACTCCTTGATGGGGACAACTGAAGCCCATACTGGTTAGAATAAGCCTGTCATTGTTGGAAATCTTTCCCTGCAGGCCCCAGGCCTTCTCTCTGTCCTTACCTGATACAGGTCAGTGGCCTTATTTGTTGACTGGGTGTGTTTCTTTGGGACTTTGCTCCTCATTGTATGGAGCTAGGGCTGCGGGAAGAAGGTTTGGGCTGAGTGTGGCTAGAGTCCAGGGCATGCACAGAGCACCGGGCATTGCCCCCTTGCCTTTCCTTCTGTCCTGCAGATACACCTGACACACTGAGGGCTCTGGGTGTTTGCACCTGGGATAGAGGACGTGTTCTACCTGTCATCTGTCAGGCTCTTAATTTCTCAGTGGACAGAAGGGTCCTTGGGAGGCCGTAACTAACATCCCACTTTTCAGAGGCTCCAGAGGTTGGAATGTCCTGCTCTAGATCAGGGTCCCTGAAGCCCTACTGAGAGGAAATGGCCAAGAGCATGGGTTTCCTAGCGGTCCTTTCAGAGAGTCACATCTGGAAGCTTCTGGGGCCTCCTGTGCATTGAGATCAGAGCCACAGGGTCAGACTCTTAGACCATCTCAGGCTGTCAGCACTGCTGAGCCCCCAGCCAAGGGGCAAGGAAGAGACTTTGAGAGCCCCTGGAGTGAGCAGAGCTCTTGGATGGCTAGGACGGATAAATGGGACACCGCCTAGAGAAGGTAGCCTTGTGTGAGGTCAGTTCCTCCTCCTGCCTCCTAATTTCCCCACACAGGCATTCCTGAAATGACAAAATCTCTGGCAAAATGCCCTCTGTCTGTGGGAGAGGACTGCATGTCTGGATCCTCGGGGCCTTGCCTTGGTTGGGGCTCTGCAGTGGGTGTGGAGGGTGGGCCCTGGTGTGGGTCGTGTGGATCCCGGAACACCCATCCCACTTGCCTTCCAGTACTACGTGCTCCCTCCTTCTCCCATTTCCTTAGGCCTCCACCCTGGCAGGCTTCTTCTGGAAGGGTTCCACGGACTTCTCTGGAACAGACATGAGAGTTTGCAGCGAGGTGGTCTAAGATGTCCCAAGGCATCCTTTGTGGGTTAGTCGGGGGAGCATCTGTAGCCAGACTGCTTGGTTCAGATCCTAGCTCTGCGTCAAGTTACCTGCATGAACCATGCCTCCGTTTCCTCACATTAAAATGGGAATAATAATAGAACCCACCTAAGAAGGTTGCTGTGCTTATACGTGTAAGGTGCTTAAGACAAAGCTTGGCATATAGTAAGACTATAAAATATTAGCTCTTGATAAATTAATGAGGGACAAAAAGTCTTTACCATGCTAAGTCTTCTCTAGGGACACAGCGGAGTTCTCATTTATTCAGGTCCTTATTTCACCCATCTGTGTTTTGTAGTTTTCATTGTCTAGCTAAGGCTTGTGCATGCCTCCTAGACTTGCCTGGGGTCTTCAAGATTAATGCATGGTCTCTGAGCAGTCTCTGCTCTGCTCTTGCCCCCTTGTAGCCTGCCTTCCACAGAGCAGCAGAATAATCAAATCACATCACTCTCCCCACAACTCTTCAATGGCTTCCCATCTCAGGATAAAAATCTGAAGTCCCGGGCTTCCCTGGTGGCGCAGTGGTTGAGAATCTGCCTGCTAATGCAGAGGACACGGGTTCGAGCCCTGGTCTGGGAGGATCCCACATGCCACGGAGCAACTAGGCCCGTGAGCCACAACTACTGAGCCTGTGCTCCGCAACAAGAGAGGCCACGATAGTGAGAGGCCCGTGCACCACGATGAAGAGTGGCCCCCGCTCGCCGCAACTAGAGAAAGCCCTTGTACAGAAACGAAGACCCAACACAGCAAAAATTAATTAATTAATTAATAAACTCCTACCCCCAACATCTGGAAAAAAAAATCTGAAGTCAACACTCTATACGATTTGGCCTTTGGCTGCCTTTGTGGCTGCACCCCCTACACTTTCCATCTGGCTCGTCTCCCTTTAGCACTGGCTGTCTCAGGGCCTTTGTGCTTGCTGTCCCCTCTGCTGGAACGTTCTCCTCCAAGTACACTCAGGTCAGATCTGTACTGAAATATCACTGTGTCTGAGGCCTTCCCTGACACTCTCTAATATAGCATCCCCACATCAGCCCCGTCCTTTCATCCTTTTTTTATTTCTTTATAGCACATATCACCATCTGACCCATTACGTTCATATTTGTCTCTTTTTTTATTATGTGCCTCATGCATCAGAATGTAAGCTCTATGATGACAGGGGCTTTGTTGCTGCATCTTCAGTGCAACGCACAATAGGGGTTTAATAGATATCTGTCACGTGTACTTTATTTACTTTTGTGACTCAGCTCCCCTGTTCATTGATTAGGAGGCAGTTACTGGTTTCCGTGCCTGTGTTTTATCTGGCTGCATGCTGAACTTCGCTGATTATTTTCTCTACTTGTACCTTTGTTTGGCTGATCCTTTTGGAACAATCACTAATTTTCTCCAAGAGTCGGTGGTTGGTACCTCCCGTGAGCCATCTCTTCCGTAGTAATTGGCTCACACAGACGTTTGACGGGAGCTATTTGACAGAGAATGCAACACTGAGGTTATTAGCGAGTGTCTGGAGGGCATATGTGCTGTGCCATTTGCAATAAAAAGAATGATAATTACTGAATGCTTTTGTGTGGGATACTTTTCCTCAAGATTATTAAAACCATCCTCATTTTCAAGTTGGCTGGGCCAAATTGGGCCACAGAGCTTAGGGATTTTTGTAATTAATTAATGTAGACTGCAGAGTTAGATGGGCTGTGGGGATTTGAATCCCAGCTCAGCCACTCACTACTAGCTGTGGAATCTTTGTGCGAATCGCTTAATCCCTCTCTGAGCCTCAGTTTCCTCATATATAAAACCGTGGCAATAACAGTACCCATCTCCTATTATTGGGAGGATTAAATGAAGGCAAAGAAGGCACTTAGCACAATGCCTGGCACTTAGCAAGTGCTCAGCTGGTCTAGGTTACTCTTGGTTTTGTTGATATTAGTACTGACGTTAGTTTTGCTGCCCAAGCTATAGTGCTGGTAAATGACAGAACTAAAATTTGAGTCCAGGGCCATCTGAGCCTCTTCTGGGCTCCATTCATTCCTGGGTTGGTTTTATGGCGAAGTGTAGCCAAGCCCTGGGGTTCTGTGGGGCCATCTACAGGAGAAGAGAGTTAACTGGGTGGAGGGTCCGGTCCTGTTCTTGCCCATCCCCACCCCCACCCCCGCCCCCTCCCCTTCTCTTGGCCACAGTGGCTTTGCTCTCTTCTCTTACACATTCGACTTTCAAGTGAGGGCTCCTTTGCTTAAGGGTGGAGCAGCTGAAAGAAAGTTTGAAGATTGAGGCAGCAAATCATGATACACAGATCCCGCAGAAGTGACGTTTTTGTGTTAACATTAAAATCGTCCTTTTTAAATTTCTATTCTCTCTTTCAGTTGAAATGGAAGGATGTCAAGTAGCACCACCAACACTTTCAACACTCAGTTGCTTTTGCATCTGTTAAAGTACTCAAGCAAGTGCGCGAGGACTGTATTCTCTCATTTTATGAAAACACAATTACACTTATTTCAGTGGAAGAAATTTTTATGGGCTTCCTGCATGCCCGAAATAGCAAGCACTTATGCAGAAACAAGAGGGATTCCTACTAAAATAGACACAATTCCTTCAATAATGATTATTAATAATCATACCACTATATAACAAGGACTTTCCCTTTATTAATTACTCTATAGTATGATAGGCTACTCTTCACTTTCCAAAACTCTTTCCTTAGGGCATATGATACCGCTGTTGATGTAATTAAGCCTTTAATGCAAAAAAGGTGCCCCCCGTCCTCCAATGAATGTAAACAGTGTAAATAGTGCAAGAGATTATCGCTCGTAGAAGCAACCGGGCCGGGAACACTTGGAGGACATCCTGATACACAAGTGCCAAGTACACCCCTGCAGGGCCACACATGGTGACCCTCATCATCTCAAGGCATTCATCTGCTCTGGAGGTATGAGAGAAGGAAATGCCTTCTAAGCAGAAGTAGGAAATGAAGCAGAAATGTGAAGTGAAACTCCTTGCTAAGATGGATTTTAGAAACCTGAATAAGTGTATCCCAGGTGTGGCTGTACTTAATTAGAACCCAAGAATTTTATAGCAGAAAGTTGGGAAGAGGTGACTGTTAAAAAACCCAGGACTCTTGTCAAAATGATTTGTTTCTAATACAAAAGACCATTGTTGTAAGTTCCAGTATGATGTTAACCTTTGATCTGGTCTTCCTCCTGATTAGTCCCTGTGATTCAGCCTACAAATAACACCATAATTGAATTACACTGTTGATGATCGAAATTGGACACTATACTGCTTAATTACACCCCTCTGGATAGCCCAGAGCAACTGCCGCATAAGCTAATTTTGCATAGG